CCCGACGCGGGGCTCGAACTCACGGAGCGCGAGATCGTGACCTGGCTGAAGTCGGACGCTTAACCGACTGCGCCACCCAGGCGCCCCTGCCTTGAGAAATTTAAAGAAATGTGTATTTTAATGAAACTGGTAAATGTTTTTAACTTCAGTGAAATTCCCATTGTGATACCATTTTATTAGCCAAGTCATCACTAGAATTTTATTAATATCAGTCTTGCCGATATCTCAAAGAATTAACTTGAATGTTGTATTCAGCCTTAGTTTATGATTTGGCCCTCCTCTTCTGGCCTTTTTTGCTCTGGTCACTCAGTTGTTGCAAGGGTGGCCTATTATTATCTCATGCAAGCCAAGCACACAGTCTGCCCTTCAAGACCTGCTGTTCCCCTTTTTCCAAATAGTCAAACCTCAAGCCCTCGTTTCATTGAGATGTCTGTGCATTTGTCACCACCTCAGGGAGTTCCTCTCTGTCTCCCCGTGTAGAATAGCTGTGGTGCTCGCGGGCTGCGTGCTGACCTGTACCACCCCCCCCACGTGCAGATTGAGGCACTGTGAGCAGTCTCTGCCCTTGCCATCCTTTATTATTTTCCTCATAACATTTAACCATGCTTGTTGTCATATTTTGGGTATCTATTTGTTGTTATCTGAGTTCCCCACCAGAAAGTAAAGGCAGGCTTAACTACTTTGTTCATTGCTGGTTAAAGAGATAAAATTCTTTTTTTTTTAATGAACTCTACACCCAATGTGGGACTTGAACTCATGACCCCAAGATCAGGAGTCGCGTGCTCTACCGACTGAGCCAGCCAGGCACACCAAGATAAATGAAATAGATTTGTAACTCTTAATAACCTTCCCCATCCTACTAATGGGAAAATTATTTTGAATTCTAAGGATTTTTTTAAGGGTTTTGTTTTGTTTTATTGGGGGGGGGTGGTGGCACACAGATGAATGAGGGGCAGGGAAAGAGAGCATCCCAGGACGGACAGAGGGAGAGAGGGAAAGAGAGAAGTGGGGCTCAGCCAGTGTGGGACTCCAACTCACAAACTGTGAGATCATGACCTGAGCCGAGGTCAGATGCTTAACTACTGAGCCACTCAGGTGCCCCAAGATACGCCTATTTTTTTTCTTAATGATCTCCACACCCAATGTGGGGCTCGAACTCATAACCCTGAGATTAAAAGTTGCATGCTCTACCAACTAAACCAGCCAGGCCCTCTGAATTCTGAGGATTTTTAATCTGAGACTAGATAGATTTGAGGGATTGATAAATCCCCTGAAATTGTGTGCAAAATGTTGCTTGTATTTTTTCTGTGGAGAAGCTCCATAGCTTTCATCAGAAGAAACTTACTGATTCAAAACACATGAAGAATCACTGCTCCAAAAAATGCAAAAAAAAAAAAAAAAAAAATTAAGAATCACTGCTCTAGTGAACCCCAAAGTGGGCCTTGGGAAGAGAATACTCACAGAAGAATTAAATTAAGATGTGCTAACGTTTAATAGAAAGATCAACCTGGGGCACCCAGGTGGTTCAGTCAGTTGAGCATCACACTGCTGCTCAGGGCATGATCTTGTGGTTCGAGAGTTTAAGCCCCACGTCAGACTCGTTATTTCACTGCTGTCAGCGCAGAGCCTGCTTAGGATCCTCTGTCCCCTTCTCTCTCTGCCCCTCCCTGGCTCATGCGCTCTCTCTCAATAATTAACATTTAAAAATATGTATATAAGGTTGATCCCTGGTGCCCTTATTTGGACCTATTACCAGATGGTCATTTATCATTTAGTCTCAAAGCAGGTGTCTGAAAGAGTGACGGTGTCACAGCTGGGGTGGGGCACATAGTGGCACCTACACTCCTGTATTTCATTTTAGTAGATTATGTTTGATTGGTTAAATTAATTTGCACATTATATTGCTTAATTTTAATGAAAATCACCTTCACAATTTTTAAAAATTCCTTCAAAAACCTAGATTAAGAAAGTACAAGCAGGGGCACCTGAGTGGCTGGATCAGTTGAGCGTCTGACTTCAGCGCAGGTCACGATCTCACATTTTGTGGGTGCGAGCCCCTCATCGGGCTTTCTGCTGGCAACGTGGAGCCTGTTTCAGATTCTGTCTCCCTCGCTCTCTGCCCCTCCCCCCACTCATGCGCTATCAAAGTAAACATTTAAAAAAAAAGCACAAGCAAATGAGGACAAAATAGGGCTGACACTTCTGCCTTTGATCAGCCATATGGGAAGGTAAAAACAGTGACAGTCTATAATCAGGTTTGATAAGAATCAGCTGATAACAGTTGAACTTCTCAGGAATGCTATTTTAAAATAAATGTAACTTGAAATAAAATTTCAATTTAAGATACTATGAAACCATGAAAAGTATCAAGGTATTAAACATCCTACTTACCTGTGGTGGAGCGTAAATTGGTGTCAACCACTTTGAAAAACTGCCAGTGTCTACTGGCTGCAGTCATTGACATATACCCTCTGACCCAGTAATTCCAGTTCTAGATCTACCCAGAAACACGTACGTATTTACCAAAAGAGATGTGCAGTTACGTTCCAAGCAACATATTCATAACACTCGTACACTAGAAACCCAAGTGTCCGTTGATAGAATGGATTGTTAAATTACGGTATATTCTTTGAATGGAATACAGTATCAGTGAAAGGAACTATTGCATGTAATAACAGATCAGCCTTATAAACATGTTCAGCAAAATAAGGCAGACACACAAAAGAATTCATACCATAAGATTCTGTTTCATGAAATTAAAAACAAAACCAGTACAAGTCAGTAGTGGCTGGAAGGAGTCACATGGGAGCTTTGGAGTACTGCCATAACACAATTCTTAATTTAGGTGCTTGTTAAATAGATATGTTTACTTTGTGAACATTCAATTAGCTACATACCTAGGATTTATGTACATTTCTTTTTTTTTTTTTTTTTCAACGTTTATTTATTTTTGGGACAGAGAGAGACAGAGCATGAACGGGGGAGGGGCAGAGAGAGAGGGAGACACAGAATCGGAAACAGGCTCCAGGCTCTGAGCCATTAGCCCAGAGCCTGACGCAGGGCTCGAACTCACGGACCGCGAGATCGTGACCTGGCTGAAGTCGGACGCTTAACCGACTGCACCACCCAGGCGCCCCTGTGTACATTTCTAAATATGTTCTTTCAGTGGAAAGTATGAAAAACTAAGCACCTAAAAGATAAATGTGTTTTATACTGTTAATAAAAGAATAAGTACTAATAAAGATGATTTTAAACTGTTTTTTATCTTTATCTTCTATACATTTAGTTTTATATGTATGTATTAGACAGTTGTGTGTATATAAGTAAATACATGTGCACAGGTCTAGGAGAGTATGCACATTGGTTTTTTTTTTTAAGATTTTTTTTTTTTAATGTTTATTTTTGACACAGAGAGAGAGAGAGAGACAGAGCATGAGCAGGGGAGGGGCAGAGAGAGAGGGAGACACAGAATCTGAAGCAGGATCCAGGCTCTGAGCGGTCAGCACAGACCCTGATGCGGGGCTCGAACTCACAGACCGTGAGATCATGACCTGAGCTGAAGTCGGATGCTCAACCGACTGAGCCACCCAGGCGCCCCATGCACAGACATTGTTAATAGGGTGGACAGTCAGATAAGTTTGAAGAGCACTGTTCTGTCTTGTTTTAAAAATGGGTTATGTCAAACATCATTCTCTTCAGGGTTTTATAAGGCTATGGCGGCAATTTATTTGTTGGGCTTTAAATTCGTCTATGACCTAAACAGTAGGAAAAGTTAGTGAAATTGCCAACCAATACTTACTGAGAGCCCTAAACATTGAGGATGGAGCTGTGAACAAAAAGATCAATAGGAAATTTTACAGTAAGTCTGTTGACAGTAGAATCTAAAGGAAAGTCTTTTTTTTGTGTTTATTTATTTTAAGTAATCTCTACACCTAACGTGGGTGGCCACCAACTCACAACCCCAAAATCAAGAGTTACATGCTCTTCTAACTGAGCCAGACAGTTCTCCCTGAAGGAAAGTCATAAATATTAACCAAATAGTCCTGTCTTGTAGTCAGTATCTTTGATCTTAACTAGTTGTCTTTCTGATTGTTTTAAATCCTATTTCAGTTTGAAGTGCACGGCCATATTAATTTTCATGGACACTCTCTCTATTTCTCTAGGTTTTGCGTCTACTAGATGTTATTGGTTTGCCTGAGCTGGTTATTCAGTTGGCCATGTCAGCAATAACTGAAGCAGGGGATGATTGGAAAAGTCAGGTAAGAACTAACTGTAATCTAGTTATTTCCCTTTAGATTGGTCCTGGATGTAGTATTTCAATTTCTACTCTTCTTTTCCCCCTATATTTGATATTTAGGCTACTTTAAGGACATGCATTTTCAAACATCATTTGGATTTGGGTCACAATAGCCAAGCATATGAAGCCTTAACCCACATTCCTGATTCCAGCAGGTAGTCAATCCTAGTCTTTTTTTAGAGAAGACAGTTTACTAGCTCTATTTAATCCACTGAGACAGTTTGCCTTCACTCCTTTTTTTGCCTTCTAGGCGGTTAGATTGTCTGCGGCAGCTGGTGGTAGTTCTTTGTGAACGCTCGCAGCTACAGGATCTTGTAGAGTTTCCCTATGTGAATCTGCATAATGAGGTAATTTTACGTGTCCACTGCTGACTGGACACAGCTGTGGTGGTTGTTACGCTAGCTGCTTTGAAATCTGATTGCTTCCCCTTCCTTAGGTTGTGGCAATAATTGAATCACGTGCACGAGCCGTGGACCTTATGACTCACAATTACTATGAGCTCCTCTATGCCTTTCACATCTATCGCCACAATTACCGAAAAGGTGAGCGGTTGAAGCCGACAGTCTTTGTTGGGGGCAACCTTAGAGTTTAGTCATGTTTACAAAAATACTGTTAGACTTATGTAATTTTTACCTTATTTTTGCTATTGAATGAGTGTTCTCTACAAGCATTTGGGGAAATTATATTTAATTACAAGATTGGCTTCACCCCTTTGAAGATTACCAGCTAGCCTTAAAGAGATGCACTTATCCCATTCTAGAACATTTTTGAGGTATTTCCAGCGAGATGTCATTCCGTCTATATCTTCTGTCTGATTTTAAGACAAACTAACTTTTTTACTAGAGGCGTCTTGAATTCTTGTGGCTGGTTGTGACTTCCTGTGCCAGCTTGCTATTGGCCTTTTCTTATTTTTGTTGATTCTTTTGAGAATAAGTTATGGACATCATTATCTCATGCATAGTTAAGATGTATCTCCTAAGGACAGTTTCTTATTTAATTTCAATACAATTATTAGATTAAGGAAATACAACTAATTTCATGAATTAAATGTAAATATAATACTATTGTGATTTTTTAAAGTTTATTTTGAGAGAGAGAGCATGCATGTAAGAAGGGAGAAGGGAGAGAGAGAATCCCAAGCAGGCTCTGCACTCACAGTGCAGAGCCCAATATGGGGCTCAATCTCAGGAACTGTGAGATCATGACCTGAACCGAAATCAAGAGTCAGATTCTCAGCCCACTGAGCCACCCACAGGCCCCTATCATGATTATTTTTATAGCACGTTCCTCCTATACCATCCTTACCCCCTGGTCTAGAATCACAATATTTCAGGGCGCCTAGGTGGCTCAGTTGCTTGGGCATCCAACCCTTGATTTCAGCTCAGGTCATGATCTTGCGGTTTGTGAGTTTGAGCCCCACATCTGGCTCTGCAGTGACAGTACAGAGTCTGCTTGGGATTCTCTCTCTCCCTCTCTCTGTCTCTCCCCCACTCTCACTCTCTCAAAATAAATAAACTTAAAAAAAAAAAAGAATCA